AGGGCCCTATAAAATGTTCTTAATTTTTCTGGTGATCAGATGAAGGCATAAAACATTAATTTAATTTATCCTAATCAAATGAAAAGTAAACCCTTTTATTTTTTGGCAAACAGAGTGCTGCACAACAGAGGTTTACTGTTAAAATTTTAAAGAAAACAGACGTGATTATTCCTTTAAAAATAAAGATGTATTAATATTTATTAGCAGTAGTAGCATTGATTCTTAAGACTATATTCTTACAGTTTCTTAATGTTAAACTAAACTTTTATTTTGACGGGTTGCCGTGAAGAACTTGCAGCTGCTGTGTATGTGATATGACGGTAGTTTTCTCAAATGAAACGGTAAAATGCTAATGAAGTGACTCTCAGAGCAGCTGGAGATGACATTCGTGTTCATATCATCATATAGCGAGACGGCAGAAGCTGAAAACACCGCGAGCGTCATCCACGCTTTAGTATGTGTAAACAAAACAGTGCCCCGCGCCATCCGCCATTCATTCATTCCGGAAATCATGGCGTCTTATGCGTGATATCAAATGCTTCAGATTTATAGTATTACTATAGCATTTCACCTGAGCATTGCGAATCATGCGTATGGCCATGATAAGCACTGAATGAATGACAGGCTTTCTGTTGTAACATCGCGCAAGGTAAATAAGGGTGACATCTAGTGGAGAAGACTAATGATAAGATTCACGTTAATCAGATCTTGTTTTAAATGTGTGCTGAAATAAATCCCGTAAAAGATCGATTCGCAGCTTTTGAGAATCGATATCGAATCGACGTAATTTTAAAAAACGATTAATCAAAAAATTAATTTTTTTTCCCAGCCCTAGAATGCAACATGCGCCATTTCATCAGATTTGTAAGGTAAATCATTTATAAATCTATGCAAACACAGGAGACTACATTGCGGTTTCAAAATATAAGCTCAAACCCTCACTCTGAATTTACATGTTTTGATGTCCACATATTCATTTAATTACAGTGGCTATAGCATTTCTGTCCTAAAGAAATGGACAAATATTAAAGATTAAGTGGACATTTGAATGAAATGGTGCTTGGTAAATATTAAACAAGTATTAGATCGCACAGTAATGTGTAAAAATAATCATCAGGCCGTTGGCGCCCTCTCTAGGCCTTCGTTGTAATGCGTAATGTACATTAGCTCTATTGTTTATTAGGGATGCACGATATATCGGCCACCATATCGGTATCGGCCGATAAATGCTCATTGTTTCTGTTATCGGTATCGGCCTGATATTATTAGTAGACTAGAACACGTGGATATGTTGTCATTCTTTTCTATAATACTGAACTTTGATTTCAGTGATTTAGAGCAGTGTTTGGTGCCGTCTGTCGAGAGCAGGGGTGCCGTGTAAAAAAATCATTTTTTAGTATTTTTAAATTGCTAAAATGTTCAAAAAAGCATCTATTATATAATATCCTTTTCTGATGTCGTCAATAATTAGAGATGAACCAAAAAAATTAGTTCACCGCCCAGGTTTCACTTTCACGTGGTGTGACGCTCTGTGTATTATCCCGCTCTATGCGTGTGCGCTCCGCTCAGTCGCTCCACTCGTATACCGTTCATGCGAATCGGAACAGCAAAGTCCACTCAGAAAATGTAGTACAGTATTGTTTCTGTCTGCAATAGCCCGACTGTGTTGTAACATGGTGTGGTATATGGGCACGCTATAACGCTGCCCTCTCATTCACTGATCTGCTAACTGCTATGTTATGCTCGCGTGTTCTTATAATAGCGTTCTAGGACTAAACATTATTTGGATAATTGGTAAAAAAATATATAAATTTTTTTTTAATACCTTAACCCTACTGTTAGACCTACCTGAAAAACTAAAAAGCAATTTATTTAATTCGAAGGCCTGTCGTTATTTTTTTATTTGTGCTATCATTATTAATTTCTTTATTTGTTCTTATTTTATTACTGACTGCTTACTTGTCATTTTTTATTCAATTCAAAGTTTGAAATCAAGCTATCTTGTGCTACTGCACCAAAATTACCCCACTGTAAAATAAAAAAAACACTGAGTGAGCAAAAAATGTGTGAGATAGCTAGTTATAATGGTAATTAAATAATGTTTACATATGTGTAAAAGCCTACATTAAAATCTGTCATATAAATTGGTCTCTTCATTAGAAATTAGCCTACTGATTGCCACCATTGATGGACAATTTTTTAAATAATATTAAAAATATCTGTATGACATTATATTCTGCAGTTCTTCCCTGTTGTACCGAATATCTATACTTTTCAAAGTATCATATCGAAGTTAGAAATTCAAATATTGTGACAAAATTAATTTTGTAAGGTGCCACAAGTTTGTTAAAATTTCCAAAGGGTGCCGCGACTAAAAAAAGGTTGGGAAACACTGATTTGGACTATGAGATGGACACTTGCTTCATGCACTTTATGTTGCAGTTTACTTTTTTACTTTTGGATTTCATTTGGTTTAATGAAATGTAGTTTAATAAAATATTCTTAAGTAAAATTGTTGATTTTCTTTTGTGGGAAATTAATCGTTTAGATTAATCGATAAATTAGTCGATAGATTAATCGAAATAAAAATAGTCACTAGTGGCAGCCCTAATATCTATATCTTTATCTTTTAAAAAAAAACATGTAACTTGTAACTTTGTAAAAATGTAAAAAAAAAAAGTGAAATGTAACTTTTAAAAAAATGTATGTACCGTATTGACCCGAATATAAGACGATGTTTTTTTCTTGGAAATACATCTGAAAAAAAAAAAAATTTAAGTTTAAAAAGAAAAAAAAATGATAATGAATTAGAAAATCTGGAATTAAAATAATTAAAATTTGAAATTAAACAAAGTGTTAGAATATAATTTGTAATGAAATATATATTTTAATAAAAAATATTAGTGGTCTCAGACTTGTGGACCCCACTGCATTTTTGGCAAATTTAATAATAATAATAAAAAAAGTATAATTTATATGTAATTTTAACCATATGGTTAAAATTGCATATAAATTATAGATAGCTGATATGATTATTATTAACTGGACTATATCTTTGCCAGGCTACACTATAATTCTTTAATGGACATCCAAAGAAGAGAATAGTAATCTTTATATTACTTAACTGGCTAATTCTAAAATAATGACCATGAGTTTGTAATTGCTTATATTTTGTGCCGCCTTAGCTTTCCTGCTGTCTAATTCAATTTGAATGCCTAACTGGTTCTCTCTAGTGAGTAGCTAAATGCATTCACTATTTATGTCAAGCGAGGAACTATACATAATGAAAATGAAGGGCACACAGAGACCTTCTGTTAGCGTTCGGTTTTATCCTGTGCGTTTTTCAATGGCTGTAATTGACGGAGAATGACCGCCACATGACTGCTGTGTGTGTGAATGTGAAGACCCTTTCACCCACTGTGACCCACTGATATGAACTCAAGGAACTCGATGTTACAGTATTGCTGTTTCTTTATTGGCTCGACGCTTGTTTGAGATCATCATCACTATCGCTGTTGTCTGACCATTACGCTTGATAGTTGTGTGATAGTGTGTAATTTGTTTACTTGTGAAAACTAGGTGTGAACATCAGTGGGGGTTTACTTCAAAGACTCTGCTTTGAGGCTGTGAAGATGCACTTAGATAGATGATACCTCGATAAACGTGAGCTTGATGAATCAGCAATAATGTGTGAAATGCTAGATGGTTGATATCATTTTCAGATGACACTGCTGTAACTCTCTAAATGTGACTGGTGCTTTAGTGCCGATTGATTGTTCGATTGCTTTTTTTTTTCTTCTTCTTCTTGATTCCGCTCCTGCCTGAACATGATTAGTATCCAAAGCCAAAACTTTTAAAATTAATTTCCCACATCATATTGTGCACAGCTGTGTTTAGTATTCCATATATTTTCACAATTTCTGTTGAAATATAATAACTTTGAAGTGACACTTCTTTTCTGCTGATGTCATCAAGGCCTTTTGGGCGGGGAAAATGATAATAAACCGTAATATCATAACCTAATGATCCAAATCTATAATAATAAATAGACTATAATAATATTAGTGTGTTTTTATAATACTTTATTTTATATAATTTTCATATCATTAGTTTAATTGTATTGCCTGTGTGTGTGTGTGTGTGTGTGTGTGTGTGTATATAATAGGTAATAGATTATATAAATAATCAAACATATTTATTCATTTTATTATTAATACAAAACAGCCAAAATAGCCATGCTGAAATGATAATGTTATATATAAATATAACGGAGGCAAAAGTAACTTACAAAAATTTGCTATTTATTTATTTTAGAATACTTTATAATATATATGTATTTATTTAGGCAAAAAATAGCCTTACTGAAATTGTAATGTTTTATATAAATATAATATAGACAATAATTAATTAATTGTTTTAATAATACTTTACATTTTATTTATTTATTTACAATTCATTTTTATAAGTAATAATTGTAATGAATAATTATTATAAAACTGGCTATATATATATCTGTGTGTGTGTGTGTGTGTGTAATAGGTTATATAAATAATCAAAAATATTTATAAATGTTATTATTAATACAAAATAATAACTTACTGAAAAGACAATGTTATATATGAATATAAAGAGACAAAAATAAATATATTTTTTTGGTAATATTTTATATTTATTTATTTATAATTAATTTTATTATTAGTAATCTAATTATTTTAATAATGTATAATTAATACAAAGCTGGCAAAATAGCCTTACTGAAATAATAACAAATGTTCAGTTCAATTCACCTGCATGTTATTTACACACATACTATGATTTATATATAACAAAGTAAAAGAAATATAGAAATCTTAAAATTGCACAATGCAGGTTTAAGATTCAAGGAAGTCCAATGCAGAGAAAACCATCCAGTCATTGAGTAATTTACACTGCGGAAGTTAAAGTAGATCTTGTAATCCAGCGTGTACCCAGTGTAACAGGTCTGTCTTGTTGGTAGGGTTGCAGCAGCAGTGGGTCGAGCGGGCGGACTGTCCCAGGCTATCATGGCTGACAGCTCCTCTCTAGGCAGAGTGAGCGGCTCCACTGAATCTGTGTCAACCGTCACCAGTGAGGAGTTTGTGCTTGTGCTGCCCACCGCTGGGGGCTCCCCCTCCAGCTCCGAGGGGAGGCCCAGGCTCAAGGTGTCTCTTTCTGTCCTTTACTATTTGACTTAATGTGTCAATAAGAATGAAGTTGAAAGTGATCTAGAATATTTATCCTCTGCCATCTGCCAGATGTCGTGGAATGGGAGTGAGCAGCTGGAGCGGGCGATGGAGGAGGTCTTGGATGATGTTGGTGATGTCCCAGGATCTGCAGAGGAGAAAGAATGTCCTGCAGCGCTCAGCTCTAAGATCAGACCACCCAGCCTGACTCTGGACACTGCTCCTCATGGTACATCCTACTCGCAGTAGCAAACTAACTCGTTTTTATCCCAAACTCCCATTGGTCCTTGTTAAACCATGTCTTATAAATATTTTACAAATGAACGGCAGGGCTACAGCGTACTATTTTTTTTTTTACATACAGGGGTTTCAGCAGATTCCATTTAGACTAGCTCTATTTATCTTAACTACTTCCTGTTGCCAAGTGCTAAAATTGGGCGACTTTGAACACTTACTTCCTCTCTACCCCACATAAACATCCTCATTCAGTCACTCTTGAAAATGGACCAATACATAAAACAAAGGTTTATGCAAAACAAGAGTTTATTGTTTTGAGTATTTCGACACAAGCATAAAACACATGGTTCTACCTCTTAAATATGATTGGATGAGCCACTTGATGACTTGCATAATCCTTAAAAAAATAAAAACAAACTATAGAGAAGAAAATAAATAAATACATGTTTCTGCAACCTTGTATTGACTGTTCATTGTTTGTGTCCACAGAAGCATCAGCAGCAGTTTTGGAGAGTTCGACAGAACAGGAGGAAGACAGTGTGCAGTTCAGTAAACTGTCCTATCTTGGCTGCACCTGGGTGAAGGCCCCTCGTAACGAGACGGAGGCCCAGAAAGCCATGGCCACCCTGCGGGCAGAAAGCGCCATCCCCATCCCTGTCACCCTCCATGTGCCCAACTGTCCAGACGGTTGTGTCCGGTCAGTCATTTGCCAAAAATACAGTTGGGTCCATAAGTCTGAGACCACTAGTATTGTATTTTTCTCTTAATATATATATATATATATATATTTCATTGCAAATTATATTTAACAATTTGTTTAATTTCAAATTTAAATTAGTTTTGAATTCCAGATTAGTGAGAAAGCTTGTATTTAGCTTCTTGTTTTTTTTATTTATTTTATATTTTTAGATTTAGAACTTTTTTAAAATTACGTTTATATCTTTAAATGTTCTTTGTTTATTTATTTAAGATTTATTTAGCATTTTTAAATGTAATGTGTTTGTATTACGCATTGTATTCTAAAACCGTTTCAAATTTTGTAATTTATATTATATTATATTATATTATTTTTAAGGATCTTCTAAAAATTTATGTTGATTTGCAGATTCAAATGACTTTTTTAGTAATATACTTTATATCTGGAATTGTTTTTTCTGAAAGCTGTTTCTGGATTTAATTTATTAATTAAAATTTTCTATTAAAATATATTACTTACTTAATTTTTGTTGTTAGTATACTCTATTTATTTAGCATTTTTCTAATTTCACTATTTTTGCCCATTACAAACTTTGTTTAATTTCAGATTTAAATAAATCCTGGAGTAGCGAAATGCTTGTCATTTGCATTTTTGTAATTTAATAAATTTTTCCTATTACATTTATATCTTAATGTACTTTTTTTTTTTTTTACAGATTTACTTTAAATTATTCCATATTTATTTAGCATTTTTCTAATGTAATAATATTCCTTTCCAAAGCAACTGATATTCCTGAACTTTTATTTTTATTTTCAGATTTATGTTAGTTTTTGAATCCCAGATTTTCAGAGGGTTCTCAGATTTAACCTACACCTCACAACCAGTCACAATGTATTTATTTCCACGTGTTACTCCTGCGGCTTCATAAAAGCTTTAAGACTGAGCACATTTAGCTTTCCTGCTCTGAGACAAACCACATTCAACATTGGGAGTATAAATGTGACTTCTCTGTAGTTTCTGAGTTCTTGTGATCTTCACGGTGTGTGTTTGTCTGTCAAGAGCGAACACTGCTGTCATCCGAGCTGCTTTTAGCTCCCGCTTTCAGCTTCGGAAATGTGATGTTGCACTTCTGTTTTCACACCCTGTGTGGGTTTTTGTCTTTATCTCAGGAACTGTGGCATAACCTCAGGTTTAACATCTCGCTGTTTCTCCTCCGTAAACCTCAAACAATGTCTAAAGTTAGTTAAGTGAACTTTGATGCACATGACATGTGCCACTGTCATTTAGCTTAATTCTGGTGACACCGAACGACGTTTTTGCACCTACTAGTACAAAGTACTACATCTAAAATATCTTCAGTACTTCATTTTACATGTAAATATCTTAATTAGCACTTCACATTATGATTGCACTATTAAAATTTGACCTATTTTGTTGCCTCCTAAATCGGTTTGTGTTTTTCATTGCAATCAGTTGGGACTAAAGTTGATGTATATTGTAAAATATGTCAGATTATGTGAAAGAGACTGCTTTAGATTGTTATATTTCTATTTTTATGTTTTTTATCGCTCTAGGATTGTCGACCAGGCCACTGGAACAGAAATTGCATCTTTTCCCATCTACAAGGTGTTGTTTTGTGCCCGAGGATGCGAGGGATCTGTTGAGGACGACTGTTTTTCCTTCACCGAGAGCTACCGCAGCGCGGAGGACTTTCAAATCCACGTCTTCTCCTGCCATATCAAAGAGGCCGTGAGTTGCATTTGTTCATAAGTGTTCATCGAGTAAATCTCAAAGCTCATCCTCTTTTCTTTATTTAGGTTAGTCGCATCCTCTATAGCTTCTCAACGGCCTTCAGGCGTTCGTCAAAAGCTGCTACAGACATGCGAGACTCGCCATTGCCACTTTCCCCCGATAGCGATGTCGTCACCTTCACCGTTTCTCTAGAAGTGAGAGAAGATGACGGCAAAGGAAACTTCAGGTCTGTCATTACTCACTTCTTAAGAAACGTACTCCTCTCTCGCTCTTTGAGAGAGGTGTTAGTTTTTACCGTTGCTATTCACGGAGCGAGGTGAACTGTTGCTTCATTTGGTTTCTATTGTGGGCAACCAGAATATCAATAAGTGCAATTGTGTCTTTCTTACTTTTTTCCCTCTCTCTTCTTGTAGTCCAGTTCCTAAAGACAGGGATAAATATTACTTCAAGCTGCGGCAGGGTGTACAGAAAAAGGTGGTGGTCACTGTCCAGCAGATGAACAATAAGGAGCTGGTAATAGAGAGGTGGGTTCTGGGATGTGGTCGGCAGAGTGCATGTTAGAATTTCAGATATTATGCCATTTTATGGAACCATAGTCTGCCTTTTAATGACTGGCATGGCAGTCATTAAATTAGTTTGACCACTAATTGAAAGTGAAAAGTGTGGAACATGTACAAGCACTCTTTTTTTTTTTAATGGTTTGACAATAGGCTTTTGTTCATGTAACAGCCATGAACCACAATTGGCTGCTTGCTATTGCTAGTAAAAAGCGGACAATATTAGCAGACATTCTGGTTCTAGACATAGATATAAATGGACATTTATATAAATAATGTATAAAAAGTGTATGATTATTTAAAAAGGAGACCAACATTTGTTTATATGCTTATATATGCTTATTATATAATTTTTATAACCTTTTTTAAAGCAGTTCATGCATACAAGTAATATTATGTGTATAAACAAACTTAAATTGCACAAACACACATACATAGTATGTTTATGTACGTGTATTATATGTGTATTATATATCGGAATATATATTTAGTGTTTATTTGTATATTACATAAACTATATCAGTTTTAATATATATATATATATATATATATATATGTGTGTGTGTGTGTGTGTGTGTGTGTGTGTAAGTGTGATTTCTTGTGCAACCACTTGATGCCGCTCTAGTCACAGCACAAACACTTTGTGAGAAGCTATGAAAATAAACCCTTCACAAATGTTGCCATGCTCTTAACTTTCGGTCACAACTAATGATGTTATTTCATGTAGCACATTACAGAAGCTCCAAATTACTCTCTGAACATATGATGTAATTAGCAGTCACTTTTATTTAATGCCTCATCCTCACCATCTAAACCATATATTTTCCAGGTGCTTTGGGATGCTGCTTAGTCCTGGTCAGAAGGTTCAAAACAACGACATGCACCTCCTTGATATGGTGAGACACATTTCTGGCTCCTGAGTTTTTCCCAGCATTCTCGGGATGTAACTGCTTGTGGGTTTAACTCTTATAGCTGTACCTCAGGCTCAATATTATATGTTAATTTCCTATATCCAGACTCATTTTAATTACCACTCTGTTGCCAGTTTTAGAAACACTTAATGGAAATATAGGCTCTTTTATTATTCATTGAAACGTCATTTAACATTGGCCCTTGAGCAAATTAAGTTATGGCGATTTGCACATCAAGACCAAAAACAATTAGCAGTTCAATCAAGCGTAAATTGTGTTCATGGGGATTGTTGAATCAAACAACGTTCAAGGTTTAATGTCGTACTTTTCTCCATGTTGCCATCTGGACAGTTTAGACAAATGTCATCATTTGATGCTTTGCCCAGTTTTTTTTATTATACATGTTAATATAATTAACCTCAGATTTTCTGCAAAAATATACTGCATTTCGTTTTGATGCATTCAGTTCCTCTTCTAAAGAAACAAACCACAGTTAAATAAAGAAGTCTTGTTAATGCTGTAGCAGGTGGTTTTCATGTTATTTAATGAGATTCTGCCATGCAAAGACTGCAAATGACTTTGCTTTTAATAAAAGTCCCATATGAGTTTGATTTATAGATATCTAATTAGCCATTAAAAGGGTCTTTCTCTGTAATTTCCTCCAACTACTCTTTAGAAATCACTCCCAAATGAATAAAACGCATGTCAGATTAGATAAATGAATTTGATACGTTAAATTTAACATATTTAATGAAACTCCGATTTTATCCAGTAACCCTAGTCATTATATAAGTGATGAAAATGTATTTTGTGGTTGTGTTTGAAGGAGTCTATGGGCAAAAGTGCTGATGGGAAGGCGTATGTGATCACTGGCATCTGGAATCCAAACACTCCGGCTTTCCAGCCACTGAACGAGGACACGCCGAAAGGTAAGAGTTAATACACAATCCTTGGTTATCAAGAGTCTCTAGTGCTTTCATTGCCACCATGCTGTGACCAAGTTTACAGGTTTTACAGAAATTCACACTTTTTCTGCCATCTATTTTTTACTTGCAAGCCTTTCAGTTTTCACTGCTTCAGTCATGTTGAGTATCTATTACACCGGCGTTTCTTGTCATGGTCAAAATGTGTCACATCTTTTACATCTTTTTATTAATACCATATATAAATAAAACTATATTAATATTGAAAGTGTTTTTTATTGACATTGTAAGCTTTAAATGTACATAATTTTTGTATTATTTAAATTGTATATATATATATATATATACATACATACATATAAGTACATTGTAATTTTTTTTGTTAAATTTGATAGATTTTATTTAATGTATTTTATTTTTATATAATATAAAAATGTTATTATAGTAAATAAAAACACACTTTATAATTATAAAAAATATCTAAACTCACTTATTAATATTTCATTGTCAAGGTTGTCTGTAATACTGATGACAAGAAAACTGACAAAAATACTGATGAAAGAAAATAGGATATAATTTAATTTGTTAATATATTTAAATGATATACTTTGATAAATATACATTTCATTATTTTTATAATGAAAACTGCTTACAAGAAAACACGGATTTAAAAAAAATGAGATATACAATTTTATATGAATATATTTAAAATATACGCTTTTATAAAAATAAATTTCATTTCACTAATACATTTATATTAATATAAAAAAATTATTATAGAAAATAAATACATACTTTATAAAAAAAATATCAAAACTCACTTAATATTTCATTGACAAGGTTGTCTGTAAAACTGATGACAAGAAAACACTGATAAAAAATAAATAAAAATAGGAAGTCTAAGTGGTCCAGATTAGAACAGGATATATATATATATATATATATATATATATACATACATACATATAAGTACATTGTAATTTTTTTTGTTAAATTTGATAGATTTTATTTAATGTATTTTATTTTTATATAATATAAAAATGTTATTATAGTAAATAAAAACACACTTTATAATTATAAAAAATATCTAAACTCACTTATTAATATTTCATTGTCAAGGTTGTCTGTAATACTGATGACAAGAAAACTGACAAAAATACTGATGAAAGAAAATAGGATATCATTTAATTTGTTAATATATTTAAATGATATACTTTGATAAATATACATTTCATTATTTTTATAATGAAAACTGCTTACAAGAAAACACGGATTTAAAAAAAATGAGATATACAATTTTATATGAATATATTTAAAATATACGCTTTTATAAAAATAAATTTCATTTCACTAATACATTTATATTAATATAAAAAAATTATTATAGAAAATAAATACATACTTTATAAAAAAAATATCAAAACTCACTTAATATTTCATTGACAAGGTTGTCTGTAAAACTGATGACAAGAAAACACTGATAAAAAATAAATAAAAATAGGAAGTCTAAGTGGTCCAGATTAGAACAGGAAGCACTAATGGCCTCTTTATTTAATGACTCAAAATACTAGAGTACCAGTAATCCTAATCATAGTGTGTGTATTGTTGATTTGGTATGAGGCCAAACTGGAAGCAGTGCATCTTGTAACTGCAGCTTTAATGTTCAGTTGTGAAATTACGTGGAGTTTACTTTGAAATTTAATTTGAGTCTGGTAGATTTAGATTACCACCTCAGTTTAAATAGTGTTTAATTCAGCAACTTGAGTTTTTCATTTCAAGTCTACACTTTATTACACTCACAGTAAAACAGTTCACAGACCTCTGCGTGGTTTTGTGTGTTTGTAAGTCTCAGTCGGGCCCACCCCAGATCTTCTGTTATTTACCTCCCCGTCTTTCTCACCGCCATCTTTTCTGACCTGACTCTATCGTAATTGGAATCTATTTTCAGCGATTCCCTCATAAATCTGTAACTGTTGCCGTCTTTGTTTCCTGTTAATTGAAATAATACAACCCCCTTAGTGTGAAACGGACTAGTTTTCACTCATTCGTGATTTGTTTCTCTCAGCGGTCTGCTTTTTTAAAATAATTATAGGGCTCACCTGAGAGAAAATATCATGAGATCAGTTCCCAGAATGCTATATTTTACCACAGTTGACTGGAGATAAATAATCTAAGCTGATTCTACTCTTAGTTTGAGTGTAAACATCATGAAACGTACAGGAATTTTTCAGTTTTGTCTTTAACTGTGAGTTTATTTCTCCTCCAGACAAGCAGGTATACATGACGGTGGCAGTGGACCTGGTTGTGACTGAGGTTGTAGTACATGTTCGGTTCCTCATGGAGGCGCTTGTGCGGGTCTATCCGGCTAATGAGAGGTTCTGGTATTTCAGCAGGAAGGCCTTCTCTGAAACGTTTTACCTCAAGCTCAAACAGGTACATTAACCCCCTGGGCCGGCACAACCAGCTCACTTTTTTTAAGATCAGTGCGAAAGGCACTAAAAATACTAAGATTTTGGTCACACAAATAAATGTTACATATCATTCAAAACTGTTAAGTGTATACTTTTATTTGTGTGAACTCACAATAACAACAAAACTTCGTGCTTTTGTAAAATAAAGAAAACAAACAGGGTGCGTTCTCTGTCTTCACTGTCTCCGCGAATATCCTTCTGAAACGCGTCACTAAAATGAACTGAAACTCAGCGAATACTTGATACAGAGACATGAGAGATATATCTATAGAAAGCTTGGAGTGTCTACTTTTATCGTAGATAAAAATTGTGTTTGTAAGTCTCAGTCGGGCCCACCCCAGATCTTCTGTTATTTACCTCCCCGTCTTTCTCACCGCCATCTTTTCTGACCTGACTCTATCGTAATTGGAATCTATTTTCAGCGATTCCCTCATAAATCTGTAACTGTTGCCGTCTTTGTTTCCTGTTAATTGAAATAATACAACCCCCTTAGTGTGAAACGGACTAGTTTTCACTCATTCGTGATTTGTTTCTCTCAGCGGTCTGCTTTTTTAAATAATTATAGGGCTCACCTGAGAGAAAATATCATGAGATCAGTTCCCAGAATGCTATATTTTATAAGCTGATTCTACTCTTAGTTTGAGTGTAAACATCATGAAACGTACAGGAATTTTTCAGTTTTGTCTTTAACTGTGAGTTTATTTCTCCTCCAGACAAGCAGGTATACATGACGGTGGCAGTGGACCTGGTTGTGACTGAGGTTGTAGTACATGTTCGGTTCCTCATGGAGGCGCTTGTGCGGGTCTATCCGGCTAATGAGAGGTTCTGGTATTTCAGCAGGAAGGCCTTCTCTGAAACGTTTTACCTCAAGCTCAAACAGGTACATTAACCCCCTGGGCCGGCACAACCAGCTCACTTTTTTTAAGATCAGTGCGAAAGGCACTAAAAATACTAAGATTTTGGTCACACAAATAAATGTTACATATCATTCAAAACTGTTAAGTGTATACTTTTATTTGTGTGAACTCACAATAACAACAAAACTTCGTGCTTTTGTAAAATAAAGAAAACAAACAGGGTGCGTTCTCTGTCTTCACTGTCTCCGCGAATATCCTTCTGAAACGCGTCACTAAAATGAACTGAAACTCAGCGAATACTTGATACAGAGACATGAGAGATATATCTATAGAAAGCTTGGAGTGTCTACTTTTATCGTAGATAAAAATAAGTCTTATCGAAAACAAATATTCTGTGATAAAGTAATCCGTATGAAACCAACACGATGTTCAGTCTTTCCTGTCTAAACTCATTATCCCTAATGTGATCCCGCCCACGCGCGGCTTGCGCCCTTCATATGTAAATATCCAAAAAATTATTTATTATTGATTTTTCCCCCCACAAAATAATTAAATACATTTAAAGGGATAGTTCACCCCCAAAATGAAAATTCTGTCATTAATTATTCACCCTCATGTCGTTCCAAACCCGTAAGACCTTCGTTCATCTTCGGAACACAAATTAAGATATTTTTGATGAAATCCGAGAGCTTTCTGACCCTGCGTAAACAGCAACTCAACTGAATGTTCCCAGACCCAGAAACGTAGTAAGGAAATCGATAAAACAGTCCATGTGACATCAGTGGCTCAACTTCAATTTTGCGAAACTACGAGAATACTTTTTGTGTGCAAAGAAAACAAAAACAACATAATTCAACAATTCTTCTCCCCAAGTTACCATCTTCCACCATTTTGGAGAGTACCACGACGCATACGCGTGCTTTCCCCAGAACGTAAACAACGCTGATTACTTTGATTACTCTCTGGGGAAAGTAGAGAGTAATTTGCTTCGCAAATTTAGCTTCGCAAAAACTGATTAAGGTATTTCATTAATTATAATGAAATAAATGCGAATAAAAAATATATTATTAAGTGACTGGGTTCAAAGAAAGTAGTTAAAAAAAATTATACACCTTTTATTTCAATATATCATTAATTTTACCTTTGGTTGTCATGAAAGTAATGTGACGGTGCCAAAATTCAAAATTCATTATGCTTACAAAATCAACATTTTTAATATGACCTGGAAATATTTTAGACAGGCTAGAGATTCACCAATTTCTTGCAAAGCCTGTGAACTTCTTATGAACAGTTCTAGGCTGCGATGTAGTGGCTGCACAGATTGGAGAACAAACCTTGAGGAAGGAAGTGAGCTTTTGTGAAGGGTGAATAGGAGCAGTAACTCCTGGAAGCTGTGAAGCGGCAAATGGAGGCTTTGTATAATTCGTAGCTTAATAAGAGGCCCGGCGCTCATTATCATGCTCAAGTAATTAGAGCTTGCTGCCTGCATCTCTGCCTGATTGCCTCCGTAGTTATCTTATCACAGAGAGAAAGAATGCATGGGCTGTAGTTAAAAGCTAATTAAAAGATAATATTATGGCGTTAGCGATAGACCCAGCCCATTCTGCACATTATTTTATTATTTCGTATTTGTTTACGCTGCTCATTAGGTGCGAGGAATTAGTGTGTAATTATTCTGGCTGTAAACATCATTCTTCGCCTGTAGTACAGTTCCACTTTGCAATTAAGAATGGAAACAGCAGTTTACATAAGAGCCACATGGCACGAGGGAAGCAGCGTCAATAGGAATATATGTAAGAGTTACTGGAAGCGAAGTGGTACAGGTGTGATCTCTGCCAACCGCATCAAAGGGCTCTTTTTATGCTCTATCATCACTTGTTTTCATTTCCTCCTGTGCGTGTAATTATGTATTTGTCATTTCCCTTGAAGCGGTGGCGAAGGTGAAGCTAACTTTGAGTGCTTTGCTCGAGCTGCAGACTTTGAGCAGTTCATCTAAAAATGTAAATTCTGTTATTTATTCACCCTTGTGTTTTTGACCAATATGACCTTTATTATATTTTTTTATTTACATCATTGTTGTTCTATACATAATTATTTATATTTAAGTATTGTATTTATTGTATATATATACATATTGTATACACATATATTTATTATAAGTTATTGAATTAATATCTATATTCATATTCACATTCATACATTAATAAAAGTAAAACATTTATTTATGTAATATTTGTTATGTGTGTGTGTGTGTGTGTGTAAATCTATCAAATATAATATTTGTAATATTTAAATAATTATTTCTATAATTATATTAATGTAGTATTTATTATGTCTAAAGTATTTTTTTTTTTTACAAATCTGACACATTACTCATAAAATATAAATATTGAATAATTGTATAGTAATGCATATAAATGTTTACATATATGATATTTATTAATTCACATTTTGTATACATTAATGTATTCATTTCTATAACACATAAAATATTAAAATATTGAATATATATATATATATATATATTATTATATTAAATAATTGTATACATATTTCATATTAAGTATTAAAGTATTCGTGAAATACTAATGTTTAATATTCATATAATATTTGCTATATATGTGTGTGTGTGTGTTAATTATTATTATGAACTAATATTTATAAATGAAATTATCAATTAATGAATTAAATCTGTGCTCACACACAAATTTATAACACATTACATTTATAAAATATAAATTATCCAAATAATATTAAAATAAATATGATTTCTGTAATTAGATATATATATTTGTACACATTTTTATAGTGCTTTAATGTCTTTCTGTCCACTATTTAGTTTCATTGTATTGAAAAGAGTCTCCAGTGCTTTCTACAATAATTTTAGGTGAATTATTCCATAGATAGACAGACAGATATGTTGTAATGTATCTCTATGGCTTTGTTTACAGTGTGTGTTTGCTCTATATGTTTGCAGGGCACAGGGAAGGGTAGCCAGGGAGATACCATGTATGAAGTGGTCAGCCTGCAGAAACATACAGAATGTGCAGCAGGAGCACGTGGCCGCCTGCAGTCTCCCACGGAGGAAGAGGAACCAGAGGAAGGTACGTCACCATCTAGTTTATCAGAGTGCTTTTCTGTGTTTTATGTTTGTTGCCATTTTGAGTTATTTTTTTTATTGAACTGCTTTAAAGGAACGATATTCTACACTTTTGTAGTGTGCTATTTCCCCCCCTAAAGTCCACTTATAATGTTACTCAAATTTTTGTGCACCAAAAATCAGGGTCTTTTTGACCATTTTTCACATTATCTTTACATTATTCACACAGCTTTTTGCTGCTGTATATTTAAGGATTTAAGGCTCTGTTACATTAAATAATAAATATTGCTTGTATATATATATATACGGTGGGGCAAAAAAGTATTTAGTCAGCCACCAACTTAAGTGGGAGAACTTGCACAATTGGTGGCTGACTAAATACTTTTTTTCCCCACTGTATATAGAGAGAGAGAGAGAGAAAGATCTATTTTATATGAAAATCTATTTTAATATAATTTATGTAAAGAAAAACATACATTTAAATAAATGTAATTAAAATGTATTTTGTATTTTAATCAAATTTTTTATATTAATAAAAAAATTTATTTTTGAAATATTTTATTTAGATTAGATTTTTTATTATATTTATGAATTTTTTCCAAGCTTTAACAGAACACCTTATACAATTAAGGTTTTAACTTTTGCCCCAAGATGACCCTAACTAAATAAAATAAAATGACAAAAACAACAATAATAAGAATAGGCAATTTAAGAAGAATTAAAACAAAACAAAATAAAATACAAGATAAACTTTACAATATTGTACACATTTACAAATGAACAATATCATTGTAGGGATAATAAAAAATAAATAAATACTTAGATAATAATACAATTCAGTGCTCTTCATAGTGGTCTTTACATAAATATAAAACCAAACAACAATTGTTAATCACGTTTAAACCAGTTTCTACAAATCTTTTTGTAATGATCAGTTAAAGGGGAGAGTCTTAATCTTTTCAAAATATGTGATCATAGGTTGCCATGTCTCATACATTTTTTGGACCGATCCTTTCATTAACCCTTTAGGCGCCAGGGATTTTTGGGAAAAATGCTGGATTTTGACATCAAGATTTCAAAAGCTTGTGGCTTGAAAGGGCTTAAAGATAGAGATCTACTGTAAATTTGAAAAATGTTGGGCATGACCGAAAGTTTATGTGGAGTATAAATATACTTGTCTAATTTGCATATTATGACGTCATCATCTTGAATTTCATAATATTCAGGAAATAGTAGATATTGAATTGATGTTTGAACTTATTTGCACGTTTTTTTTCCCCCCAATTTTTAAATTTTTTTTCCCCAAATGATCAGAAAAGAGGAAACCAACAATAAAACAGGAGAAAGTGCTAAATTATTACTATATTACTATACTATATAGTAGTAAAACGCATGTGAACAGTAGCCTACTTTTTGATCAGTAATATTCAGGAAATAATAGATATTGAATGGATATTTGAACTTATTTGCATGTTTGTTTGTTTTTTTTGTCTTTTTATCTTCATTCCAAATGATCAGAAATGAGGAAACCAACAACAAAACAAGAGAAAGTACTAAATTACCAACAGGCTCATCAAAGCGTTTGATCCAGTCCTGATACACTTCTTCATTTCTCAAATAAACCCAGCCACTATTGTCATTGCTATTTCCAGCCCTATTTAGATCCAGATCACCGCTGCTGCCTCTACCACGTCTCCCGGCTCTCCCACACACAGCACGGCCACGTGTAACGCGGCCACTCCCACCTCTTTGGGGCTGCTAGTGCTACTTCCAGCCCTATTTCTCCTACCCCTACTGCCTCTACCTCTAGCAACAGCTCTCCTATGGACACTACGACCACGTTCTCCCCTGCCACCCCCATCCCCGTTGGGCAAAGGGTCGAAATGATCACTTGTTTGTGCTCGTGAACACTCGCGCCTTGCACGGGGGCACCATTGCGCTGCAAAGATGTCCCGGGAGAAGCGTGATTATTAGATGACCGATCGTCATTTCCAAAAGGCAAAAATTCCCCTTCAGAGTCAGAATCGGCGAATAACATTTGCAACACATCCTCACGGTACAACTTTCTAATAGCCATTTGGAGATTTTCTCTCACAAATCTCACAATTTACTCGCACGCTATGAACTGAACTGCTTCCGCATCAATGACACGATAGCTTACTTGCTCTGCTATTTCCTCGAACACTTTGAATAGGAACGTGACGTAATTTTGGTCTAGAATCAAAGTACCTTCATGTCTGCCATCTAGTGGCAGAGAATACAAATGAGATATTACACCATATTAGGAACTACAGTATTTTATTAAGTATGACATCTTGTCACAATTTTGCGACTTTGGCGCTTAGAGGGTTAAATATTTAATTCTCTCTCATTTCAAATAGATTTAGATTTATTAACCTTATATGTATTAACTTGTTAACATGTATAACATGTATATTGAGATTGTAATTTTGAAATAAAGAAATTCAGACTTCAGAATAATTGTAAATTTTTCTACAAAAATATATATTTTTTTATTATTATTTTTTGACTTTTTTTGTTATCAGATAGAAAATGAACCTGTTAAAGTAATTTAATTTCCATGTGAGTTTGCAGACTTGCCCCACTTACCCCCATCCATTCTCACAAATACAGGAAAAATGACCATCTCTGAGCTTATTCAGATCTCTTTTCAGAGCGAGAGGGAGTGTATGTATGTATGTATGTATGTATGTACATGCGGACATAAAAAGAACAGATTGCCTTGCCAGCAAAGCTGTAGCAGGTCCATTTGTTTTGCTGTTTTTTTCCTTTATATGTCAATGCTAACACATCAAGTGAATGAGATCATCCGTCCAGATTTTTTCCACCACCAAATTTGAACATGATCAACATTCGCTCGCCTTGCGTTTTCCTGCCTGCGGTGTGGCAGCAAGAATCCATTGCAAGCTTTAATTTAGTCTCGGCCGGTAGCTGTAGGTGAAGTGTTTCAGCCGTCTGTCTTTTTCACGAAGTGGAGACGGCCTGTGTTTTTGACAGGGTGCCACAAGCCTGAGATGTGAAACCCTGGCGGCTTTCAAGTGGTTATCAGTGCCCATTTCAGAAGAATGGATTCCAATTTGGTTAAGTGGTATTGGCTCTCGGGCTCTGTGTGTCATCTGACCACCTGGAACTGGCCGGTTTTTCTATTTTCTACTGTTGTCTTCGGTTCTGCTCAATTGATTTGAACATGAAGTAATGATTACATGGGTTTGAGTAGCATGTTAAATATCACTTAAAGGACAATTCTGTGTTATTTACTACCTAATGTCCATGAATGATTTGGTAGTTGTGTGTTTTAACTGTTTACTGTATTTGCAGGGCTGATTGCTTGCTAGGCGTTCATTCTGGCACAAATGTTGTCTGAATATTCGTCAAACATTGCACATTGCATTGATTTTTTTTTTAAATCCTCGACTTCATTTTGCTCGCGTCGACTAATTCACCAATGCTACAATTTAATTAAATAATTATATGCAATGCAGTTCTAATACAGTATATGTGCTTTAATTACTTACATGCGTGTAGGTTAAGTACGTGTGTCACACAGCGGCTCCGTTCACAGTAGTTCCACAGGAACTGTTATCATTTACATGTGCGTCTCAAACTCCATCTCTGCATGTTGTTGTGAGTTTGAGTTTATTATAACGTTCATCTGGGAACGCAACGTGCGCCATTTCATCAGATTTGTAAGTGTGTTATTTACTACCTAATGTCCATGAATGATTTGGTAGTTGTGTGTTTTAACTGTTTACTGTATTTGCAGGGCTGATTGCTTGCTAGGCGTTCATTCTGGCACAAATGTTGTCTGAATATTCGTCAAACATTGCACATTGCATTGATTTTTTTTTTTAAATCCTCGACTTCATTTTGCTCGCGTCGACTAATTCACCAACGCTACAATTTAATTAAATAATTATATGCAATGCAGTTCTAATACAGTATATGTGCTTTAATTACTTACATGCGTGTAGGTTAAGTACGTGTGTCACACAGCGGCTCCGTTCACAGTAGTTCCACAGGAACTGTTATCATTTACATGTGCGTCTCAAACTCCATCTCTGCATGTTGTTGTGAGTTTGAGTTTATTATAACGTTCATCTGGGAACGCAACGTGCGCCATTTCATCAGATTTGTAAGCTAAATAATTTATAAATCCACGCAAACACAGGAGAACACATCGCGGTTTCAAAATATAAGCTCAAACCCTCACTCTGAATTTACACGTTTTGATGTCCACATATTAATTTAATTACAGTGGCTATAGCATTTCTGTCCTAAAGAAATGGCCAAATATTAAAGAT